CCTTCTTCAGAAGTGGATGACTTAGTCCACATGGGCGGAGTTCGTTAATTGGAGAACTTTGCCTACGAGTATAAATTTAGCATAGAATTCGACTAGTGATTTGATTAACCGATGACATCTTTCGACTTGACCTAAGGCATGTTGCGAAGGTTGACTCGCATCTGACTTGGTTGGTCGAGTCTATAAGGGCTATCTAGCGAGGTTCGCTTCAATCGTCAAGTGACCTTCGCTGTAGCTTATTTTGGGCTTGACTTTGGGCCCATTTGAAGTGTTTAGCCCATGGGCGTTCACTTCTCGGATCCAAACTGATCATCATCCTTGGCAAAAATACATTTTGATCGTCTACAAAGACATCTTGCTGACTCCAAGCCTTGGAACAAGTTTGACAAGCTACATGAAAGCTTTGCCTTAGAGCCCCAGAATGTATGGCTTGAGATTATAAGTGATGGTTTCCAGCCTTTCACAAATTCGAAAGTTTCATATAGCATATGGCCGATTTTACTTGTTCCATATAATATTCCATAATGGATGTGCATGAAGCAATCTAATTTCATTTTATCTACACTCAATCCTGGTCCAAATAGTCCAGGAGATCCAATTGACAACTATTTACAATGGCTAATTGAAGAACTAAATGAGTTGCGAGCATCAGGTGTTCGAACATATGATGTATCTCTAACAAAGAAGATGTAATGGCCGTAAATTTCTAATACGGGTTTAAATAATTTTTTGATAATTAAATATTAAATATTATTTTTCTAAAAAGAGTATTTGTATTTTCCTAATTTCTCTAGAATTTTCTCTGATTTAAAATACGATTTTATATTTATTTTAATCGTTTTGCTAATTATAAATTTAATTGTTTCGGTTAAACTTTTAAACTAATAGTTAAATATTCATTATTGTTATTGTTATTATTATTTTGACTATAAATTTTGAATATTTATTTGAATAAATTTTCTGGTATTTTAATTTTTATTTTTAAAGAGGTATTTTTCCCTGTGTTTTTCCTCTTACCGGTATTTCATATCTCTCTCCTACCCCATTTCCCCAATTCACTCCCTAAATCCCGCAAATCCCCACCTCGTGTTTCCCCCTCCCTCGTGTCCCGCACCCCATCTCTTTTCCTCTCTCTACAAATCTCATTCTCACTCTCCAGCTCACTCTCACTCAATCTCTCTCTCACCCACGTGACTCTCTCCAATCAATCACTCCATCACTCTCTCTCTCTCTCTCTCTCTCTCT